AATAAAATCCTCTCCTTGATGTGGCTCATACCTCCAGTTCTATTTTTAATTAGACTGCTATATCATGAACTAAATGAATATATGTATATATATATAGATAGATAGATAGATAGATAGATAGATAGATAGGTTTATTATTTGTTATTATTATTGAAGTATAGTCAATGGCACTGTGTCAGTTTCTGGTGCACAGCACAATGTCCCAGCCATGCACACACACACATACACTTGCCCTCACATTCTTCATATAATTGTTCATAGTAATCTATTATGATTCTTTGTATTTATGTAGTGTCATTTGTACCTTCTCCTTTTTCATTTCTGATTTTATTGATTAGAGCCTTTTTTTTCTTGATTAGTCTGACTAAAAGTTTATTAATTTTGTTTAGCTTATAAAAGAAAACTGAGCCACAGAGAGATTAAATATATGCCCAGGGATATTCAGCCAAGAGTTCTGGAGCCAAGACTCAAATCCAAACCTATCTGGCTTTAAATTTTTCCATTACTCCGTGGGGCCTTTGCAATTAGTCTGACAAATGTATATTGAGATTTTTTTGGAGAAAAGAGGCAAATAAGCAGTGAAATCACAAAGGTAGCTCATTCAAGACACAACAGACACCTACAGAGAGAGGAGGGAAACATAAGTGTTTTATTTTTTTATGTAGCATTTTTTAGGACCTGTTCGCTTGATTCTTCCATTTTCTAAACATTGCCAAATATACTTATCATTTTATTTTTATGTCAGAATTATGTAAAAGGAATTGGATAACCCTTGAAAATCATGTAAAAATTCAGAATATTCCTAATTGTACATTTCTAAAATATAGCTAGTGAAACTCTCATGGCATTGGATATTATGTGACGCATCCAAACATGAGAGGACTCACAGGGAGTTGGCACTTTAGGAGACCTCTGAAACAACTCATGCGCTCGAGCAGGGACTAGAAAGATAAGCCATAAGAGAAAATCTACTCTTTCAATCCCCATATAGATTGTCTCTGTTCCAGTGTGTATCAGGGGTGTTTGCTGAACAAAATAGCTCCTGCTTTTAGGCTCACTACCACCTTACTTCTTAGATGATGCTGAGAGTGACGGAAAAGACGACCTACAGTGACCTCAGTCTTTCTGCTATGGTTATTAACATTAAATTACTTCCTGGTAAGATGGATATTCTAGTCAAAAGGCAGCAGTTGTTATCCAGTGTTCTTCTCCAAGTCTCCTGTCCTATTAGCCAAGCCAAAAATCGGTGGCTCTGGAATTAGCTCTATATTTCAGAATTGCCTCAAGTCATGACCCTCCTTTGCTTTCTAGGAGACCCAATATTTTTGTGTTGAGCATCTGTCCTGGTCTTTTATCCCAAGGGTTAAATCAGCTCTTTGAAAGTGGCTGCCCAGTATTTCAGTTGCCCATCTTCTTGGAAGGTGAACCTTTGTCCCATTACAAACACATATTAACTCTGAATTGATCTCACAGCTCACAGCTGTCTGACTGTCTGGCTGCCTGCCTGGTTTTCTCAGCATTGCTCAGCCCAGAATCTGTCACTCTGCTCTCATCGTTGAAGCTAGGATGTTAGCTGAAATACAACTGAAATTATGCCTTTCACTCACTTCCTGTCTGTTCATCTAGGCGTCACTTCCTTGGTATCTGTCTTTACCAGAGGGTAGGTCAGAGCCAGTCATGCATCCTTTTCTTCACTTTGCTGCCCTAATGTTGTTTTGCACAGATGTGATTCAGAGTTGACATAATCAAAAAATTAGGAATGTTTATGATGATAGGAACAAATCCAGGAAAGCTGCTGAATTACAAAATAAGTAAGTGTGTGTTCTCTGAAAGTACATAATATTAGGTACTTCAGAACTGAGTGCAATTTGGGTATCCAAGCAGATATGTAGACAGTTTGCATAAGGAAATTCTGTTTAAATGATATGAGGCCAAGGCAATGTATCTGGAACCCTTTGGTGTTCCATACCAGAATCTCTGTCTACAGAATATTGGCTGGAAAAGTCAAGTCTGAGACAGATTGGATCCAAGAAAAGTTATTGGGACAAGAATAGGAGAATAAGATAAGGCTCCAGTTTCTAAACTAAATTTTAAAGTGAGAATTGGATTGTGGGTAAACTTCAGATGTCAAGACATTAAAAATGGAACTTGGGAATTGGAAAAGGAACAAGTTGAATTGATGGTGATTCATCTGAATGTGAATCAGAGCTTCTTAAATTGTCCCAGAACAAGATCATCATCGAGCTTCACTTCATGGAAACAGCAATCACAGGAATGGCGATTTTGGCTCTTAATTTATTAATTTATTCCTAGTGGTCTCCCCAGTGAGAATATCCCAGTGCAAACTCTGGCCAGCAGACTGCTAAAAAATGACATGAATAATTTTGAAGACTGGTGCCTTCTCTGGGGCATTTATAAATGATTACTGAACATGTTTTTTACTTCTATGTATGCCTGAATTGAAAAGTCCATTTTTAGGCAATGTCTCTAAAGTTACGTAGAAGACCTGTGTATAAGAAACCTAATTTTTCTTCTCCCACTTCCGTCTCATCATGGAGCCAAGCTATGGGTTATGTTGTTCCCAACTTCACGCATCTGAATATGTGTATGTCCCTGTAGGCATGCACGGAAGGGTCTGCATCTACATCTATAAACAAGAAGTAGAACATGTTCTGCTAACTTAGGATAAATAGTGCTTTATCATCCACAGAGAAGAGTTTGAGAATAAGGAATTGGCTTCAGGTGTCTTTTTCATATAGAACCTTGTCTCTGAAGTAGTATGTTTCTGCTTAGGTACATGTCAAAGCAATTACCGTAATTTGTTGTATTTTAGGAATAGCTCTATTCAGTTTAATTCCAATATTTATTGCAATTCTCTTGTTTCAGTTTTGTAATAAATGTAAATGCTGTGCAAAAATGAAAATGTACATTTTCTTCCCTAGGACAATCTACAATCTAGAAAGGAACACAGAATAACAAATTAACATTCATCATAACATGGAAAGTTTCTAGCAAAAAACATACTAAATATATATATAGAGGCGGGGGGGAGGGAGAGAGAGAAAGCTGTACAGGCTTCAAGCATGTTATAGTGCATATGCACACACTCACACAAACACACACCGGAGAATTTCAACAACAAGAAAAACAACCCAATTTTAAAAATGGTCCAAAGACTCAAATAGATAGTTCTCTAAAGATATACAAATGGCCAAATAAGCACATGAAGAGGTGTTTAAGATCATTACTCATTAGTAATGACTACTCAGATGCAAATCAAAACCATTTTATATCCATAGGATGACTATAATTGAGAAAACTGAAAAATAACAAGTGTTGACAAAAGTATGGAAAAATTGCAGCCCTCATACGTTGCTGGTGGGAATATAAAATAGTACAACCCTTTGAAAATCTGTTTGGCAGTTCCTCAAAGCGTTAAACATAGAATTACCATATGACCCAGCAATTCTCTTCTTAGGTGTATACCCAAGAGGATTGAAGCATCTATTTGTACAAAAACACATGTATGTTAATGTTCATAGCAGCACTTTTCAAAATAGCCAAAACATGGAAACAATTC